TAAAGGAAAAGGAGAGTTGAAGTACTGAGGAAGAAATCATTAAGAAATTGTTAAAAATAATAATATGAAGTGATATGAAAAAATAGCAAAAAAGTTTCAAAACATATAATAAAGAAGTGAAATGCATAAATGTCACAGTATATGTTTATATACTGTATATGAGGCCCTGAGAACCATAAGAAATGCAAAAAATTCACTGTTAATTACTCATTCTCAAATTGCCCTCCTGTGGGGCGTGTACCCCACATTGGGAACCACTGCACTACAACTTTCTGCATCATCTGCACCTGCACTGACCTCTCCAACCATTTCCTCCCCATCCTTCTCACTTTCTCCATCCATTTATTTGGTCCTGTCCCACACAAACTGACCCTAGCCCTCTCCCCATCCACATCCTCCCATCCTCTTGCAGCTTTATTTTATGCCTCCACATGAACTGGCCCCAGCTCCCTGTCTCCATCTTCCTGAATCCCCTGCAACTCTCTGCTCTAGTCCCTCATCCACTTATTCTGTCCCTATTCCCTCCACTGAGTAACTGACAACCTATCTTACAATGGCTGCTTGGCACAGGAGACTCAGGGGATTGGGGGTCAAGTCCACCAGGATGCCAGTGTCCAGGGACTGAAACCCACAGCCATGCTTCTTAACATGCTCCCCACCTAGGGTTGCTAGGTGAAATATAGGGCACCCAGGTAAAATGGAATTTCAGATCAACAATGAATAAAGAAACAACAACAAAGTCTGAATGGGACAAACCTGTACTAAAAACAATTTGTTGATTTGAAATTCAAATTGACCTAGATGTTTCTTTTTTTTTAATTAGCTAAATCAGGCAACCCTATCTTGGAACTAGGATGCCCTCAGCAGTCTGAAATTCATTCTCTCCCCACCCTGTGTGGGTAAAGGAGCATTACATCCTTATTCATTTTCCATTCCAGCCCTTCATCCTCCCACCCTCAGCCTAGAGCAGAGACTTAATGCCATCTGCCAGGGATTCTCTTACAGGTCATCCCTTGTGGGACCAAAAGGGAACTGAGCAAGGTCACCCAGTGCAACCTGATGCCAATATTCTAAGAAACCATCCAGCAAATAAACTGACCAGAGGTTGGCTGAATTAAACCTACTGTCATAAGAACCTGGATTTCCCTGAATTGCCAATAACTGTTTTTTGGCCTTACACTTCATCAAAACCATTTTTAGGGCATCATTTAGGGTTACATGAAATGGATTCTTCTAGTTTTGACCACTGACAGGTTTCCAAGGCAAAGAAACAACTCATGCCAATAGTAAAGGATTATTTCATTTTCTGCCCACAGGCTGGTAAGGAGTTTGGGATCTACCAGACTGCCTTCAACACAATGGTTTAGAACAGTGGTTCTCAACCTTCCCAATGCCACGACCCTTTAATACAGTTCCTCATGTTGTGACCACCCACCATAAAATTATTTTCGTTGCTACTTCATAACTATAATTTTGCTGCTGTTATGAATCGTAGTGTAAATATCTGATATGCAGGATGTATTTTCATTGTTACAAATTGAACATAATTAAAGCATAGTGGTTAATCACAAAAACAATATGTAATTATATATGTGTTTTCCGATGGTCTTAGGCGACCCCTGTGAAAGGGTTGTTCGACTCCCAAAAGGGTCGAGACCCACAGGTTGAGAACCACTGGTTTAGAAGATTAACTCAGTCAAGGCCAAAGAACTCACTCTTAGAGAACAAAAGCTCAAACTAAGAAAGGCTTTATTTTAAGACAAAACAAACAGGAAAAAGACATCCAAATGCAAGTGAGAGAGTTCACTGTATTTTTTAAAAGAGAAAGCTGCACTTAGGTGTCAATTAAAACCAGAACCATTGTAGAGATGCCTGATGTTTGTGGTGACAGTTACAACATGTGTTTCCCTGAGAAGTCTTTCTATGGTGGCATAAATGTGGGACTGCATGACAAGAGTGAAGCAATACAAGGTAGAATGGCAAGTGGGTAAATGCTCTAATGTGCTCTTGTTCTGTTTTGAAGAATTAAAGAAAGCAGCAGGTCACCTCACAAAGAACTATATTGTCAAAAAACACTTACAAAAGTTGAAAATGGATGTGAGGTTGTTACTAAAGGTATATAGGGAGGTTAGTGGGGGAAAAACACTTGTGTTCTCAAAAACCAGGTTTCACACAATAACAGGCACTAAAACTAGTTGTGTGTGCTTGCAACAAGAGAGAATACTCTTAACGATGGCTGGTCTTTTTCATGACATGCAGGAAATCTTCCTCATTGACTTCCCCGTCTCCATCTCGATCAGCTTTATCGATCATTTCCTGCATGACAGTAAGGATTCAGGTTAGATTAATTCATAATGAAGCTAAAATGTGAGCAAGCAACAGGCTTTTCTAATACTACATGAATAGACAATTGTCCAAGGTTCCTGAAAAGTTATCTGAAATCTAAGTCATACTTTGTCATATATATCACCTAGAAGGGAGCTCGAGTGGATTCCCAAAGCCTAACACTGAAAGTAAAACTGTCCATGTGTATATTTTTCTGAGAGCAGGGTGCATAGGTTTGTCACACTACAAAAGGGAAATTAAGTGGTCAACAGAGGGACAAGAAAAAACACTAGTTTTCCTTCAAAGTGGTGCTCACATCAGACAAAATGTAACTCAGAAGAGTCACCCAGAGCTCCAACCAGGAATTCTGGGTTCCAGGCTGGTGCATTACAAACCTGAAGCTCCTCATCAGTCATGTCCTCACCCAACTCCTTGGATACACGTTTGAGATTGTCGAACGATATGGTCCCAGTTTCATCATCATCAAAGAGCTTGAAAGCTTTCAGGATGTCTTCTTTGGAATCTTTCTCGCACTTAACAAGTAGAACATAAAATACATGAGTAATGAAACACTGCAGTTATTCATTACTGTATAACCCCTCTGCCCTCCCCTACATCATTGCTTGGTCTTGGTGACAGCATTTGTGACATAGGTCCTAGGAGATCAAACATCATTCAGGGTAGAAAAAGAGGACAAACTCAATGACATTACAAACCCTAGAAGCTAAAAAGGAACTTAATAAAACACTGCACTTAACGCATTCTTTCTATACAAACCAAAGAGAAACTGGACTTGTTTTTAAAATACAGTAGGAGAGGGGTGCAGTTAAAATTAGGGAAAATATAGGGCCGCACCTTGTCAAAATGTGAGATACTGTAATATTGTTGGTGTTTATAGGTTTTATTGCTTGTGGTTATCATATTGACATACCAGTTAAAGAAAGACAATAGCAAAAAAGTGACAGCAGTAGTACCTTCACTACAGAGGGTAACATGACTTTTCCTGTGATTGTGGTCTTAAAGAGCTAACTTACCATTTTTTGAGTCATCACAGTCAAGAAGTCATTGAAATTCATTTTTCCTGTACCTTCTGGATCGATTTGACTTATCATCTTCATAATCTCTTCTTTCTTTGGTTCAAAGCCCATTGCTCTCATCACCACCTACAATGAAAACAGGAATATCTCAATATACACATGTAAATATAGCAAGAGCAAAAATGACAGTGTTGGGAGCATTAAGCCAGCATCTGCACTCATTTTATTGAATCACACTTGAAGTAAAGATAGGAAAACAGCACAATGTATTCTTCCCTTGTTACTTTTTTCAGGGAGAAGAGGACAACGGGAGTAGAACGGTGACAAGGAAAGAAGACAACGAGGCACAGGAAAGGAAAGGAGGCAGAGCAGGAATGTACAGATCTTGCCTTGAGCTCTCTAACATCAATGGTCCCAGTTGAATTAGTATCGAAGAGATCAAAAGCTTGGCGTAGCTCCTGTATCTGCTGTGAATTAAGCTCCAGCTTAGGACTCAGTCTTTTTGGCTGGGAAGATGATGCCACGCTTGTCTTATGGCTAGAAGAAGCCTTTAGATGGTTTACAAACACATAAGCACAATATTATGTAACGTAGTCCATATATTACATAAAATAAAGACAAGCATATATGCTTTTAAAATACTTTATACCAACCAATCCCAAAGCTTTGCTTAATTGGAGGTATAATAAGGTTTATTGGGAATAACAATCTTTCCATGCACCTCTATCCCTCCCTCTGTTTACTATTGTTTCTAGAAGCAAGGACCAAAAGCTAGCTAAGAACCAGAGTGTGGATAACTGTACAGATGACAAACATTCCCTGAATTCTAATTCTAGAATGTCCTTACAACCGCCACTCGCGGTACTCCGTTTCCCTCTAAGTATTAGTTCTGATTACTTCTAGATTTGGCCAAATATTAATAAGATGTACATTCTGTCAATATCAAATAATAAAACTCAATCCATTGGGCACATCTCTATCTGCCTTCCCCAAGCAGGTCAGAGCGTCTCCCGAATGGCCCTACATTTAAATTTCAAAATGAGCGTTAACAAATATCATAAACCTCCCCCCAAACACTGTGAGTCTAAGAGGGGTCAGACCTGTGGAGGTTCCGAGTCTTCTTTGGCCTGGAACAGCTTGCCAAGAGGGCCGCGCATGCCCGGGGGGCGGCTGCGGGCCGGCTGCGTGTTAAGAGGAGGCAGCGAAAAGGCACAGGCCCCACCGCGAGGAGGCTGGGGTTTCTTCGGACCCTTCAGAGAAAGATAACAGAGTAAGGAGGGACATGCTGAAGCCAAGAACCGCACGGGAAAGACAGAGGGAAGGCCTAGACCTGGTTAAGGGCTAAGCCTCCAGAAAAGGGGCGCGGCAGAGGGCGGCACTCACCATTTCCAACCGACTCCCGCTCCCGGTTAAGGTAACCAATGAATATTCACTAACTGGGCGCGGTTCCCGTCGCGCCACGCTGCGCAGCCCCGCTCCCCATTGGTGACGCGCTCGCCAACGCCGCTCGCCACCGCCGCTCGCCATTGGCGTAGACCTTGAATGGGCGGGACCAACTGACAAAGGCCCCGCCCAAGTCTAGGAGCGCGCGCTCCTGGCGCAACCCTGACCTCATTGGGCAGGGCCACGCCTCGTGCGTAGATTGGGTGAGCCCGCGCCTAGCCGAGCAGGTCCCGGTCTTAAAGGAGCCTCCGCCTGTTCTTTGCTCACGCGGGCTCCAAGAAAAGGGTGGCGGCCAGCGACCGAAGCTCTGTAGGTGCCGGCTGCAGCCGTGCTGAAACTTTCAGGGGGGACGTTTACGGACGGGTAAGGGTCGCGACCTCTCCCTTGGAGGCTGCCTTGTGTTGGCGACTGGGCGGGAAGGCAAGAGGCTGGGTGGGGCGGTCCAGGTCCGGGCTTTATAGTCTGGCCTAACCAGCGGTTCTCAACCTGTGGGTCGCGACCTCTTTGGCGGTCGAACGACCCTTTCACAGGGGTCGCCTAAGACCATCCTGCATATCAGATATTTACATTACGATTCATAACAGTAGCAACATTACAGTTATGAAGTAGCAATGAAAATAATTTTATGGTTGGGTCACAACATGAGGAACTGTATTTAAAGGGCCAGAAGGTTGAGAACCACTGCCTAAGACTGAATTAGGGTTAGAGGGCCTCACACCTTATGTGTTGGAGTGCAGGTTATTCACGAGGAGACCCAAAGAAGGGAAGGGACTGCGGAGCATTGTCGCACAGGTTCGAACGACTGGGGCTTAGAAGCCGAATCCAGTTGAGGCTTTCTTTGAAGGTGTCCTTTTGAGAGTATCCCGCCCCTCCCCCCCCCCCCCCCCCCACACACACACACACAACCAGACCAGGTTCCAAGTGAGAATCACTTGAGTTCTTCCTTGGCTAAAGCAGCCCAGGAAGGTGGTTGGGGGCCTGGGAACGGACTTGGGAATGAAGGAGATATGAGCAAGCATGAGAGGGAGAGGGCATCACAATACACTCTTTTTGACACCCAGACACTTGAAGGCAGATAGGGAGGAGCATTCCAGGGGAGACATTCTCTTGAGTCAAGTCGCAGAGGAGTTTCAGAAGTGTGAGGCATGCTTGGAGGTGTATAAGGGGGCGGGTGTATGCAAAGGAAAGCTGTAGCGGAGGAGCTGCAAGTGCGGGGTCCACCCTCCTCAACCAGCCCTGTGTTAAGAGCTCTAGGGCTCCACGTAGCTTTGAGCCCTTACCTGCTTCCCCTCTGGACATTGGGGCAGTATTTAGGGAGGCAGGGCCCAGAGCAAAAGTTTTTCAGACTGAGAAAGGCCTGAGGTTTATTAGCATTCCTTAAATGAGAGTGTTTACACACCTGTCCTTTGCCCTCTTCCGCTTTGAACATGAACTGGGTCCAGACCTTTTGGTCAGGTTATATATGATTCCTTTTTTTTCTGTCCCCTCCACATTAACCAGCTTCTAAGTTCTACCCTTAAGTGCCATTTATTTCTTTTCTTCTTTTCCACCTCTGCTGCTCCACTCCCAATGTGGGCCTTCAGCATCAGCCTCCCAACTAGTCTAAGTCCAAGTTCTCACCTTGGTCTGCAAGGCCTGGCATGACACACCCCCTCCTCTCCCCAGCCCCCCCAGCCCTGGGACACTGGCTTCCTTATTGGGCCTCAAAAGCACAGGCACACCCCTACCTTAAAACTTTTGCTACAACAGTCACTTCTGCCTGCTTGGTCCACTTCTCCCCCCACCCCCCAGACTTTGCTTCACTATTACCTTCTCAGTGAGCGACCCTAAGCTCCTTATTTAGCCCTGAAGCCCCCAGCACACCCAAGCCCCACCTCTTGCTCTACTTTTTTCCCCACAGTGCTTATCACCTTCTAACCTACGGTACCTTTTACTTATTTATTTTGTCTTTATTGCCCATCCAGCAGAAGGTTAGCTCTTTGAAGGCAGGAACCTTTGTTCACTACCAGCACACCAGTACCTGCAACAGTGAGAGGGGACACATACTAGGTGCTCAATAAATCTTGGTTGAAAAACTGGTGAGTAATCCCCCTGTTTCCTGCTTCTTACCTGTTTAGTCTACCCGGTTCTATCAGGTTAATCTTCCCAGGGAAAAGCTCTGGTCAGGTCACCCCCATACTTTTACACCTTCAGTGGTTCCCCTGGGTACAGAGTAAAGTCCAGACTCAGCCTAGCATCTGAGCCTCCTGCCCAGTTTTGCCCCTGCTAGTCTTTCTTATTTCGTGTCCCTCCACACCCTACTTCCCAGTCAGTTTGTAGGTGGCAGACTGACAAGAAACAACTACACGTTCTGTCTTGACTGTGCACCAGCTGTGTGACTTTAGGCAAGTCGCTTGACCTCTCTGAGCCTCAGTTTGTCCTCTGTTGAATGAGACCAGTACCGTCTCCCTAACTGGATACAGGTTTTCAGACAATATAAGTTCTTTTCTCTGATTTGCTCTTGTCATTCCACCTACCTAGCATGCCTGGAGCCTTAGACTTGGCTAAAATCCCTTCTCCATACTGCAGCCAGAGTGATTTTTTTGATCTTAACACTCACCCCGGCTTACAACTTCCAAGGGCTACCCCATTTCCTCAAGTAACTTCTTAACCTTGCATGCTCTCCATTTTGCTCCCAATCTTTTTATTAACTTTTACAATCCTAAGTCACTGATGTGGTTTGTTTTGTTGTTGTTTTTTGTTTGTTTGTTTTTAGAGAGAGGGGAAGGGAGGGACAGAGAGAGAGAGAGAGAGAGAGAGAGATCGTGCAGTTGCCTCCCATATGCTCCCCGACTGGGGATCGAACCCACAGCCTTTTTGATGTACAGGATGATGCTCCAACCAACTGAGTCACCCAGCCAGGACTTTGCTCCCAATCTTGCTTCACACTCACCATGACATTTGTCATAATTGCCACAGCATGCTGGCTCTGTGCCATCACCTCATCATTCTCACCCTGAGCCATGGAATGTCTTTTAGGACACCCACCCCGGCCACTTGACTCACTCCTTCCGGCCTTGAGAGCTCAGCTCAGGGATTGCCTTCTGGACCCGGCTTCCTGCTCTGGGGTTACCCTCAGCAGAGCTCAAAGGCACTTTGGCAATGCTCTCCTAGGTCTGTCTCTCACACTAGGTGGTGGGCTCCTCCTTCTGCAGGTTCTGTTTAGCAGTGGCCAGCATGTGGTGTCTTGTGAGGGAGAGAATGTAGGAACAAGTGAGCTGACACACCTGGGTGCTCTTTTACAAGCTGCAGCTCCCTTTTATCCCTGGGGCTTGTTTGGGCCCCACCGCAGCTCCGGGGTCAGTAGGAGAGATTGGCTTCCCTACAGGTGCAGTCTCTTAGACCAGCCGCAGCAGCGCAGATCAACCCAGACTCCATTCCAGGCTCTTTGCTGGCCCTCCAGGGGCTCACAGCCTAGTGGGCCAAGACAGATGAGGAGGAAAGGTATAAACCAGTGTGCAAAGTGATAGAATGGTGCTAAGGAAGCTGCTAACCTTTCTTAGGGAGGGAGAAGGGGTTTCACAGCGGTGACAGTTGAGCTAGGCCTTGAAGGATGAGGAGGAACTCACCATGGAGCAGAGAGGAGAGAGGAGACCGCATATGCTAAAGCTCACAGGCATGCTGTTGGCTTTCCCAGTGGCCACCATATTTCTGTGTCCTAAAAGTAAATAGATAAGCAGAGAGATGGATGACTGACAGAAACATACAGATAACTCAAATCTGTGAAAGGACAAGGACGGAATATTCATCTTTCTCTGTCTGGTTTGACATGGACAGACTGCCCCTTCCTTTTCTCTCCAGGACTCAGCCGTGTGGAACTTGTCCCAGCAGAAAGGAGAAACAGGCTTCACTCACTCCTCTCTTCATTGGATCCTGTCAGCAGCCCTCCTCCTCTTGCCCTGAAGTTGAGTGAAGCACTTGGATTTCACCAATAGAAGGTAGCTCTCTTTTCCTAGATTCTTTGCAGCCTAACACTTTGTCCCAGTGTATAGAAGAGCACACATATACTGGTTTTTAATGGATTCAGAGATCTGCCATGTTAAAGGAGAAAGACTTCAGGCTTCTGATTTGTGAACTTTAACAATCAGCGTCTCACACGTTGCTCTTTGGGGACTTATTTTCCCCTTCAGAACTGTTCTGAGTGAATGTGCAGTAAAGTAGAACTGAAAATTTACCATTTTCACCATTTTCAATTCTACAGTTCAGTGGCATTTAGTAGATTCACATTGTTGTGCAGCCATCACTACATTCCATCTCCCAGAATTCTTTTCATCTTGTAGAACTGAAACTCTATTATATCTATTAAGCAGTCGCTCCCCAATTCCCTCTTCCCCCAGCCCCTGCACCCAACATTCTACTTTCTGAATGTCAGAATGTCTCCTTTTTTGAATTTTATGTTATTGTGGAAAGAACACTGAACATGAGATCTATCCTCTTAACAAATATGTAAGTGTACACTACAATATTGTTGGCTATGGGTACAATGCTGTTCAGCGAATTGCTAGAACTTATTGCTCTTGCTTAACTGAGGCTTTCTGCCCACTGATTAGCAACTCCCCATTTCCTCCTCCCCTAGCCCCTGGTAACTCTTTGATTCTATGAATTTGACTATTTTTTTGTTGTTGTTGAATTTGACTATTTTAGATACCTTAGATAAGTAAAATTGTCTTTCTGTGACTGGCTTATTCACTTAGCATAATGTCCTCAAAGTTCACCCAAGCTATCACATATTATAGAATTACCTTCGTTCTAAGGCTGAGTAGTATGCCATTTTATATATATAGCACATTTTCTTCATTTTTTTTTAAATATATTTTATTGATTTTTTACAGAGATGAAGGGAGAGGGAAAGAGAGTTAGAAACATCGATGAGAGAGAAACATCGATCAGCTGCCTCCTGCACATCTCCCACTGGGGATGTGCCCGCAACCCAGGTACATGCCCTTGACCGGAATCGAACCTGGGACCCTTCAGTCCGCAGGCCGACGCTCTATCCACTGAGCCAAACCGGTTTCGGCCACATTTTCTTCATTTATCTGTCGATGATATTTAGGTTATTTTCTATCTTGGCTATTGTGAATAATGCTGCAATAAAGCTTAGGAGGGCTCATCTCTTTGAGATCCTGATTTCAATTCTTTTGGGTATATACACAGAGGTGGAATTCCTGGATAATATGAAAATTCCGTTTTTAATTTTTCGAGGAACCTCCATACTGTTTCCCATAGCAGCGGCACCATTTTATATTCCCACCAATAGTGCACAAGGATTCCATTTTTTTTCACATTCTCATCAGCATGTTATTTTCTGTTTTGGGTTTGTTTGTTTGTTTGTTTGTTTTTATAATAGCCATCCCACTGAGTGTGAGGTAGTATCTCATTGTGGTTTTGATTGGCATTTCCCTAATGATTAGTGATGTTGAGCATCTTTTCATGTGCTTGTTGGCCATCTGCAATGAAATGTCTTTTTTGGAAAAATGTCTATTCAATCAGACCTATTCTTGGTGTTCATTTTAACCTGAGCATATTAGCAATTAGGGGATTAAGGGGGATGGGTTGTCAGTGGGACCTGGCTCATTCCCCAGGATAGTCTTGGGTACCCCAGCCCCTAGAGACAACTAAAGTATCACCAAAGTTTTTACCTGGCTCATAGTATTTATACACTTTAAAATAATTTGTATATAATTTGATACAACATAGATTTGATTTTGTTCTTGTTTTCACAAGAGGCTGGTTTGCTAAGCATCGCATGAGACTTGTTTGAATGGTGTGGATCCATGTGGGCAGGATGGGTTTCTTCTTTTCCCTCTAAGATCCCCCCCTAGAGATGGAGGGGAGACAGCTTTAAGGCTTCTTGCTTTTCTAGTAGGGCAGGTGGGCTATGGAATTGACAACTGTGCTATTTGAATTGCAGGACTGTGAAGAATACTGGTGTGGATTTCCTGGGGCTGCTGTAACAAATGACCACATACTGTGGGGCTTAAAACAACAGACATTTCTGCCTGGCATGCATGGCTCGGTGGCTGCATGTTGGCCTAAGAACCAGGAGGTCACAGTTGGATTCCTGGTCAGGGTACATGCCCTGGTTGTGGGCTCGATCCCCAGTAGGGGGCACGCAGGAAGCAGCCAATCGATGATTCTCTCTCATCATTTATGTTTCTCTCTCTCTTTCCCTCTCCCTTCCTCTCTGAAAAATATTTAAAAAAAGAAAAAGAAGGCTTCATCACAAACAGGACCATTTTTGGAGCTGAAATGGAACCAGCAGTTGGCGAACCAAAGAAAGACCAGGTCACAGGGACACGTTTGACAGAAGACTTTCCAAAAGTGAGTACTGGCACAAAAAAGGTTAGCCCAAACCAGATAAGGGCAAAGTCAAGCACATACATACCAGTAAGCCATTGATAATTAGCTGTGGGTTAAACATTATATTTGGTACATTTATTAAATCAATTAATGTTGAATATTGTTTTTCTAGATAAGATAGATATCTTTATTTGAGGTACCAGCTACTGCTGTGTACCAGTGTCAGAACATAGTGGTTTAAAACAACACCCATTTCTTTGTTCACGATTCTATGGTTTGGGCTGGGCCTAGTGGGAAGTCCATGGCTAGTCTCCCCTGGGCTCACTCCCAAAGCTGCAGTCATGGGAACTTCCTAAGGTGTATGTTCCAGGTGGCCTCACACGCCTGGCAGGAACTGCTGGCTGTCAGCTGGGTGCCTCAGTTTGCCTTCATGTGGGCCCAGCAGGCTAGACTAGGCTTCTGGGTAGAATGGCAGAGGCCTTCCTCAGGGGCGACAGGGGCAATAGCAAGGCCTCTCAGAGATTTTTCCATTCACTTTTAATGAATGCTGATGCTTCAGAAATGTAATCATGCCCAACTAAATTGTGTTTATATCAAATGTTAATAAAGGAGAATTCCCGTGGGCCACCGCATCCCCCTGGTTGGGGGGTCGAGCTCAGAGTGAAGTCTCCTCTGCGCCCTGGAGTTGAAGGTTCATCTGAGATTCTGTGTTCAGACGAACTAGCAGAGTCACGTGCCAGCTAGACTTCCTCATTTGAATAAATTAGTATTTTACTGATACTCAGCAACCAAAAAAAAAAGCCTAGATTCCAATGGTTCTATCAAAGGTTGTTCCAATACATTTAAACTACTAAGATCAAAAGAACACTTTCATCTGAACTTATTTATATATTCTGTGTGAGACATCTCTGAAAAACAGGAAAACAAAAGGTTGGAAGGAACCCAGTGGCCTAAACATTCTCTTATCTCAAGATCATACTGCAATTAAAATAGCTTGTCTAGATGAATTCCTTTCCTATTAACACTCTCTCTAGAGCAAGAGTTTTGTTTTTGAAATACAAATTGGAAATCCTTAAATCACTTGTGATCCTGAACTAGATAACTTTAGGTTAAGAATATATTTTGAGCCGAACTGGTTTGGCTCAGTGGATAGAGCGTCGGCCTGCGGACTCGAGGGTCCCGGGTTCGGTTCTGGTCAAGGGCATGTACTTTGGTTGCGGACGCATCCCCACTGGGGGGCATGCTGGAGGCAGCTGATCGATGTTTCTCTCTCATCGATGTTTCTAGCTCTCTGTCCCTCTCCCTTCTTCTCTGTGAAAAATCAATAAAATATATTTTTTTAAAAAAAGAATATATTTTGAAATGTGAAAGAAATGTATACTTAAGTAGTTGGAAGCAGTAGATAGAAATAGATATATAGATGGACAGATAAAGATTGGGCACTTATATATTTTTTTTCAATTACAATTGACATACAATATTCTGTTGGTTGTGGGTCTACAGCATGGTTATTGGACATTTATATGACTTATGGGGGGATCACCCCAATAAGTGCCCATCTGGCACCATGCGCAAGTATTGCAATGTTGTTGACTGTATTCCCTATGCTGTAGCCAGTATTATCTATAATAGCTGAGATATGGAAGCAAACTAAGTGTCGATCAATAGACGAATGAGTAAAGAAAATATGGTATATATATAAAATGGGCCCCTTCTTGGTTTGCCTTATTACATTTAACCTTTCTTTTTGTAAATTTAAAAGATATGTACCTGGATTTGCTTACGTTTTTTAAGAATGTTTGAGAATATATATCACAGTGAATCAGAAAAAAATACTCTCTAAGATGTTGATTTTAAAACTCCCCTCAGTAACCCATTCTTGAGTTTCGTTACCTGTTTCCAGTCTGGAGTTTTATTCTTCCTTCTAATACATGTTCCTTGTCCATTGTGCCCACTTCACCTGCATTGTTTCTCATGGCCATGAAGAGGGGTTATTTCACCTGATCTCTAACTGCATGGCATTATAGGTGTGATGAAAGACATCAGCCCCGCTTTAGACCCAGTCAGACTTTGCAGAAACCTAGAGAAATCAATTAGAGAAGCGGGGCGGGTCAGAGTTATTTGAAAAAAAAAAACTGAACTTGGGAGGAGGGGACGAGAGAGGATTGCCAAAAACAGGACTGAATGGGATTAGTGTTTAATTTGCCTACGCCCTGGGAATATCTTAGAAATTTCAGTCAAGGTGTAAGTTATTGAGCATGATATGATTACATGTATGTGGGAGTAATCAAAACAGTGTAGGCAAGACTGAGTTGAAAAGATCATTTGGTGGGAGTGGCATAGTGAGACCTGGACAAATGATGCCAAAGCTCCAGAACCATCTGCAGATGCCCAGTGGACCCCAATAAAAATGTCATTCCTAATGGGACACCAGGGTGGCAGGGGTGGGTCTATAGAAGGGGCCCTGGCACCCCTGGAGTCTCCTGCATCTCAGTTGTATAGGTATGTAAGGAATAAGTAGGTGAGTTTGCTTGTTTGTGCTTAATCAGGAACAGAATTTCTTTAAGATTTTTACTTTCTAGACCCCACTTTGATTTACTATACATTAGCTTAGGAAAAATGGGGGTTTGTCATCTTAAGGAAGTCCACATTTGGTTTTAGAAAGACCTGAGAGAGAGGAAGGATATCACAGGTCCTCCTTTGGGGATTCTTGTAGCCAGCATAATAAACATGCAGCAGCCACAATTTTGCATTGACTCCATGGAGTGAGAATATTTAAGTGCTTACACGTGGTACTCTGTCCTTCCATTATTTACCAGAGTTGGAATTTAGCTAAGAAAGTGTCCATGTTGCAGGAGCTGAGATGTAAAGATTAAATAGAGCTCTTTTGCCCGACCGTGGTGGCTCCCTGGTTGATCGTCAACCTATGAACCAAGAGGTCACAGCTCAATTCCCAGGCGGGGCACATGCTCGGGTTGTGGGCTTGATCCCCAGTGCAGGGCATGCAGGAGGCAGCCGATCAATGATTCTCTCTCATCATTTATGTTTCTATCTCTCTCCCTCTCCCTTCCTTTCTGAAATCAATAAAAATATATTTAAAAAAAAATACTAGAGCTATCCCGGATTCATTGACCTCAGAGCTCAGAGAAGGGAAAGCAAAGCCCTGGGCCTGGCTAACAGATCACCCATCTTCACGGAAGCCCCACCAGCAAATGCCATTGGATTGTAACAGTCTTGGGCATACTAAGGCGAGAAATGGTTAGACAGTGAGCCCAATGCCACCCAGCTCAGCCCGATAGGGTCAGGGAGAAAAAGGGCCTGACTTTCTCTTACAAGTATGAAGACTGGGCTCTCCTCTTTCTCATGTTTTAAGTTCACTCTGATGTTGAGTGGGAGCATGTTTTGTTTTTGTTTGTTTGTTTTGCCTTATAAGTGTCCAGAAATCAGCTACCAGAAGCAAAGATATCACTTTTGGTTTTTTTTCATATTGTCCAGTGTTTTATGTGTGTGTGTTTTTAATATATTTTTTTTATTGATTTCAGAGAGGAAGGGGGAAGGAGAGAAGGATAGAAACATCAAGGATGAGAGAGAATCATGGATCGGCTGCCTCCTGCAGGACCCCCACTGGAGATTGAGCCCGCAACCCGGGCATGTGCCCTGACCAGGAATCGAACTGCGACTACCTGGTTCATGAGTCAATGCTCAACCACTGAGGCATACCACCTGGGCCATATTGTTCAGTTTTGATCATAAGGCGTTTATGTTCTTTCAGAGCTGCCTCCTTTGCCTTTCACTGAACACACAGCAGATATTGGGTCATCAGTGCAGCCAAAGTCTTTCTCAGTCTCATTTGCTCTCGCTCTTCCCTCCTCACTGATCCCGGGAGAGGAGCTTGCCACCGGGGATAGAATACCAGAATTCTATAAAGCTTCTAACCTGGTTCAAGAAGGGTTTCAAACAAAGAGATGGACCTGCCCTCTCAGTGGTTCATGACATGTGAGTTCAGGCTCTTTGTAGGTTCCAGTTCTCACCGTATCTGTGCCCCCTGCCGTCCCTCTCTCTCCACAGGCTAAGAAGTGCACGGTGATTGGAGGCTCTGGGTTCCTGGGGCAGCACATGGTGGAGCAGTTGCTGGCAAGAGGCTACACCGTCAATGTGTTCGATATGCGGCAGGGTTTCGACAACCCACAGGTGCAGTTCTTTCTGGGGGACCTCTGCAACCAACAGGTAATGGGCCAACCAGCCTTACCTATTTCCCATTGGCCCCAAATGGAAAGCGGTGGACTTCCCCTACTCAGAAGCCAGGCACATTGTTGTTCCAAAAAATTTTTATTTTGAAAAATATTAAAGTTAGAGGAAAGAATTTGACACACACCCACATTCTTACTCCTCAAATAAATAACTGTCATTTCTGTCCCTACTACTTCACTCTGCCATGGTAGTGCAAAAGCAGCCTGGGCAATACATGCATGAATGGGCATGGCCATGTGCCAATTAAACTTTATTTACAAAGTTGATCATGGACTGTAGTGTAGCTGGTAAGCTGCTACTCCAGTGTGTACCCAAAAGTACAATTCTGGGGTTTTTTAATTTTTCTATTATTTTTAAAAAATGTTTGTATTGATTTCAGAGAGGAGGGGAGAGGGAGCAAGAGAGAAACATCAGTGATGAGAGAGAATCATTGATCAGCTGCCTCCTGCATGTCCCACACTAGGGATTGAGCCTGCAACCCAGGCATGTGCCCTGACCATAATTGAACCATTGAACCTTTTGGTTCATAGGTTGACGCTCAACCACTGAGCCATACCAGCGGGCTGCCAGGGATTGTTTAAATTTTTATTCAGATATAACTCACATTCCATAAATTTTCTATTTTTTAAGTATTCAATTCAGTGGTTGTTAGTATATTTATAAAGTTGGGCGGCCATCACTACTAATTCCAGAACATTTTCATCGCCCCAGAAGAAAAACTCCAGGCACATTAGCTTCCCATTTCCTCTCCTACTCACCCAGCCACTCATCTCCCATCTCTGTGGATGTGCCTATTCTGGACATTTCATACATGTGTAATTATACAGTGTTTGTCCTTTTATGACTAGCTTCTTTCACTGAACATAATGTTTTCAAGCTTTACCCATGTCAACAAAGTATTAATATTTTGGATTTTGTTAGATTTTTGCCAAACTGCTTGACAAAGCTGCTACATCAATTTTTCGTCCCCACCAGCAGTGTGGGAGTACTCCCATTGCTGCATATCCTTGCCAACACTTGGTACAGTTAGTCTTTTTGGAGTCACTGTTGGGCAATGCTTAATCACATGTCCTCCCTGTTTGGGAGTGAGAATGAGATCATCACTGAATGCTGAAATCAGTTGGTAGAAGGTTGCTGGGGAGGAACCTATTCACACAGTCTCAAATGATCACCCCACTGAATCACTTTTAAAAATTGTTTTTAATCTTCACATGAGGATATTTTTTCAATTGCTTTTCAGAGAGAGTGGAAAGGAAGGGGGAAGGGGATAGAGAAAGAGAAACATCAATTGCCTCCCACACATGCCCCGACTGAGGCCGGGGATGAAATCTGCAACCCCAGTATATGCTCTCGGCTGGGATTGAACCCTTGACCCTTCGGTGTGCAGGCCGACACTCTAACCACTGAGGCACGCCAGCCAGCGCCCACAGATTACTTGTTAATTACACAAAGAAAGAGGTACCTTTTTGATGGCCAGAATCTGACAGCCATCACCTTAACCAAGTGATCAAAGCCAACATGCCAAAAGTATTAGGCCTGAATCTAATCATGAGGAAACAGACTAATCCAAATTGAGGGACACTCTGAAATAACTGGCTTGAAAAGTGACAGTGTTCCAAAAGACAAAAAAATAATAAGATAGGGAGATTGTTCCATATTCAAAGACTTAGAAGAGGAACGAGGACTAAATACAACGTGTGATCAATCTATGATTGGATTTTAGATCCAAATATGAAAATCGCTATAAAGGACATTATTGAGACCATTGGGGAAATTTAGATATAGACTAATTATTGGACAAGAGTGTCCTCTCTGTTACATTTCTGCATGTGATCATTGTTTTCTGGTTATTTAGGAAGATGGCTTTGTTCTTAGGAGATGCTAGGTGAAGAGTTTAGAGGCAAAGTAACCTGATGTCTGCAACTTACTCTCTAATCGTTTCAGAAAAAAAATCATATGTCTATGTGTATCTACATAGAGGGCATTGCAACACAATATTAATCATCAGTGAATCTAGGCACATAAATCATATATCTATGTGTATCTACATAGAGGGCATTGCAACACAATATTAATCATCAGTGAATCTAGGCACATAAATCATGGGCGTCTTTGTCTTGGTAATGTTAGCATCTATTGATGGTCATTCTTAGATCTTATTACTTATTTAAGGCTTTGCCAAATGGTGACATGCTATCATTCTTACTTTGTTTCTTACCCCAGATCTTTGTAACTTATGCAGATTAAATGTGTGATTCCTTCCCTTTATTTACCAGTTTGCAGAAGGAATTCGTATTTTACTGGTGATCAAATTGTCCCTTCTTTGGCCAGTGGGAGCCTTTATAAATTGGCTCTTAGTCCTTTTAGCAGGACCCCAAGAGTCTTGGCGAGCTTTCTCACTTTCCAGTATGACAAGGTGTTGCTGGCTTATCTCATCTATTTCCTGCCCCAGATCTGCAATCAGGCATTGCTCTGGGGAGCTCTGGTTCCTCTTAGCAGTAAATTAAACATACCTGTTTTCAACCCCTTTAACACTATACTTTCTGTCCGGAAGACAAAACAGGCTGGGTGCTTAACATGTTAAGGTTGTTGTTTTATGTCTAGTTTCACAGAAAAGAATACTCCTGTATATTGGCCATTTACACTGTCATGTTGTGGGACTTTTTCATATGATTTATAATTTGTGTCTATAAGCTCATCTTCCCCAGAAGTTTTACCCTCAGGTGTCCTGAATCATGCCCTTACCCCATGGCACAGATGTTGCCTCTGGCCGAGTCCCACCGGCTTCTTTAGGGACCAGTTAATGGGGAGGGGGCGATTAAAGGGACAGCATTTTTTCTTTCGCATGTACTGCTGCACTGTTTGAATCTTTTACAATGAGAATGCATTTCTTTGTTAATTGTAGAATTCTAAAAGGGCAAGACACCTATGCGCCACAGATTGGAGAGTGGGAATGTGAGGAGGCTGTTTACTTGTGTAAGGCGGGAGTGATTTGTTTTGTCTTTGTTTGCTTTTCCAGGACTTGTACCCAGCTCTGAAAGGTGTAAGCACAGTTTTCCACTGCGCATCACCCCCACCATCCAGTAACAACAAGGAACTCTTTTATAGAGTGAATTACATTGGCACCAGGAACGTCATTGAAACTTGCAAAAAGGCTGGGGTTCAGGTAAGGGGAAGGCTGGAGTGAGTGCTGTCACACATTTCTGTGCATGGGTCTGTCCCTGGCTCTCTCTTCCACTCCGTTGGCCTCTGTCTGTGCTCAGGCCACTGTGCTCTGCCTTAATTCAGTGAGTCTAAGGATGAATCTCAGTGTGTGGTAGGACAAGTCACCCCCAACCACATTCTTCAGAATTTGCTTGGTTAACCTTAGCCCTTTCCTCGTCCATATACTTTTTTTTTAATGTTTTTAAAATTGATTTTAGAGAGGAAGGGAGAGAGAGAAAAAAACACATTGATGTGAGAGAGAAACTTCCATCAGTTACCTCCCATACATGCCCCAACCGAGGATCAAACCCGCAAACTGGGTGTGTGTCCTGACTGGGAATCAAACCCGCCCCCTTTTGGTATATGGGACGATGCTCCAACCAACTGAGCCACACTGGCCAGGGTTAATCCATATACTTTTTAGGATCAGCTTGTTGAGTTGATAAAGCCTACTGGAATTGTTATTGTACTTGCATCAAACTTAAAAGTCATTTGGGAGAGAATTGACATGCTTTCAATATTGAGTCTTCCTATCCGTAAATATATGTGATCTCTCTTTATCTCTCTCTTTAATGCCTTTCAGTAGAGTTTTATACTTCATAGTGGTTTTTTACATCTTTTGTCAAATTTATCCCTATGTGACTCATTATGGTTATTGAAATATCTTTTACATCACATTTTCAATTGCTAGTGTATAGGAACACAGTTTGATTTTTGTGTATTGATTTTGTACTCAGCAACTTTGCTGAACCCTTAACTTTAATATTCTCTGTCTATTCATCGTGTTTTCTGTGTCCACATTTCCCATATCTGTGAATGGTGATAGTTTTGTTTCTTCTTTTCAAATTATTATACTTTGTTGTTTGTCTTATCCTAGGACTCCAGGACAGTGTTGAATAAAAGTGGTTGTTATTATTCAAGCCCGGCCAGTGTGGCGCAGTGGTTGAGCATCAGCCTATGAACCAGGAGGTCACATTCCATTAGCAATCAGGGCACATGCCTGGGTTGAGGGCTCGATCCTCAATAGGGGGCATGCCGGAGTCAGCAGTTCAATGATTCTCTCTCAAAATTGATATTTCTTTCTCTCCCTCTCTTTCTCTGAAATCAATACACACACACACACACAAAAAAAAAGATATGATTCAAGCTAATGATATTCAGTGTTGGATGAGATTCCTTTAACTAGATGGGCTGGGAGCTGGAGACCCTCATAAGAGAGCATCTTCCTTTTGAATAGTATTTCTCAAGTGGGCATGGGTGTGTGCCTGCATGTGCTGACATGCCAAGGTTTGTGTCAGAATCAGCAGGGGTCTTCTTCAGACAGAGCTCCCTCAGAGTTTGTGGGCTATCCTTCTGCCATGGAGAATCACTCCCACAGTGAGATACCATGAATAATGGAAGTCTGTTCTATCCCTCAGTTGTGATAGGAGAGAAAAAATGTGAAATCTACTATATTAGCATGTAATGCCATAATGTGCCTGGGATCCTTGTAGCTGCAAAAGATGGTGATCTTTGGATTTTAAGAAAGCCTGAAAAGTGAAGGCACTACAGTCAATAATTTGTATAGTGCCTTGCATACAAGGGTCATGAACAGGTACCATTTGATCCTCTTGCATTCACGACCATTGGAGTGTTTAATTAGGGATCATTCCTGACTGTATTTTTTTTTTCATCTTCCTTTCTCCTCTACCAGAAACTCATTTTAACCAGCAGTGCTAGTGTCATTTTTGAGGGCGTTGACATCAAGAATGGAACTGAGGACTTCCCTTATGCCATGAAACCCATTGACTACTACACGGAGACGAAGATCTTGCAGGAGAGAGTACGTACCTGAGAGCTGGTTGAGTGAGTGACGGGCAAGTGCCAGGAACCATCTGCAGGGCTTAGATTCCTAAGAGAAATATCTGTGAACATGTGAAGTTAGTATTCTGAGGCCTAAGTACCTAACTTGGGAAGTAAAATTTGTGGATGAAATTCAGTTTAAAAAATCATAACAAACTAGCTTAAGCTGGCCAGACACTGTTCTGAGTCTTTTACAGGAACTGCCTCATTTCAATGTCACGAAGATGCCCTAAGGTAGGTACTATTATCATCACCAGATTACAGGTGAGGACAGTTGATGCCCAGAGATTCAGAAGGTCCCTGAGGCCATGCAGCTGGTAGGTGGTGGAACCAAGGCAGTTTAGCTCCAGAGCCTGCTCTCCAGCTCACACTATGCAGGGTTGGTTACTCAGTTGCTATAGAAATCAGAAAGTAGGCAATTTATGGTGATCCAAAGTATGCAGGCAGAACTTGGGCTTCACACACAAGGAGTGTGTTTGCATTTGAAACACCTTCCTGGTGGCACTCTTGTTCCCCTCCCTTCGTAAAATTAAATGGCAGAAGGATCTTGCTTTATTTTAAGGAAAAGTACTTTTCTACTTGACAGCCTGGTTTCTGCGAGAACCCAGATTTAGCAGAAGTCTGAGTTGAGTAACAGGCACCAAGCCTTCAGACTCCCGAGCTCCAGGGACCTTGACAGCAGCTAGTTCCGGGGTTAATGTCCAGGGAGGGCACTGCCGTGAGGATAGCCTTGGCTGAAGGCCACGAATGCTCATCAGCCACAGACAGCTTGCCTTAGCTGGGGTGCTGGGGGTTTACCTCTCCCAGGAGTTTGTAGCACACCACAGCCACTAAACCAGAGTTTATTGTCCAATTGGCATGAGTGCCCCCGCACTACCTGAGGGCCTGCTGCCTGTTTGCTATTACTCCAGCTCAGAAAGTCCCAGGACAACTCATCTTCAGAGAGACACAAGGTCCTCCCCTCTCCAGGGAGTAGAGGCCTAGCCTTTTGCAAGCTGGAGTCCTGTCCCTGCCCCTTAAGCATAGAGAGCCTCACAGAACTCCCACCTTCTTGGACTTGACCGAGAGAGCACCGAAGCATCCAATGGGCCCTGTGCACTCACCAAAGGTGCCTGGGACTCCCACCCTTTGTGCTCAGGAGCTGCAAGCCGCAGCTATGGCCCAGACCTTTGGTGTGTCACTTGCACTGACTTTCGGTGCTTATTGGGAAAAAGCAAAGCCTGAAAACACCCAGAAGTAACCCCCTAAAGCGTCCTGTCAGCCGTTGTTAGCGCACAGTAACTCACTGTCGGTGTTCAGACCTCCCAACATAGAAAATGAATGTGGTGTTGATTTAGGACCCCTTCACCTCTCTTCTTTTTAGTAACAGAGATGAGCCTTGGTAGAGGGCATTGGAAGGCTTATTTAGTCATTTCCCCCATTGCCATGGGGACCAGGGGCCTGGCGGGAAGAGGAGAGACAGCTCTGGGAATCTAATGCGAGGACAATTCTTCACTGTTGGGCAGCTACAATGGTTCTAAACTCAATCAATAAGTCACTTCAACTCTCTGGCACCCAAATATATACAAAAATTTTGCCACTGTAGAGTAGAGATCCTAGGTGAGGTGATAACGATACTTACCAAGTGTACTTACAGAAACAATTGGCAGGGCCATCTCATTTCATTAGCATGCAGCCCTGTCAGGGTAGGCACTGGCACGTTCCCTATTTTTACCAATAACATAACAAATCCTTCAGGAAGTTGTGTAACTTTTGAGGCGAAACCTGTTTCTCTGTACTTTATGCCCTTAAGTTCTAGCTTGTCCATTAAGCCACACAGAATGTAGCATTCCTCTCCTGCTGACAGTGGATGACAGGAATAGTGGCTGCCTCCCTTTGAGTGCTTACTAGGTACTAGGCACTGCTCTGAGGACTTGACCTGTACTGACTGCCCTGTTTCTCCCATATCCTTCACCTTCTCAGGCCCTTCTTCGTGACCCACGTGGATTCATCAGAGCCCCTTACTGGGAGGTGGTGCTCAGCACTAGCCAGGGCAGCCCAAGACTGGCAGAAACGTGCTGTCAGCACATAGAGCTTAAAGCCAGAGCCCCTTAGGTGGCAGCAGCCTCGTGGGAGGTTCAGGGTTGACTGGCTCACCGTAACCCCCGGATCTTTCCCACAAAAGGCTGCCAAGGCTCATCTTCCCCTGGCTGCATTTGTGCATTTTAGTCTTGAACCCAAACCCAGGCCTTTCTGTTTGATCTCACTGGTTTTGACCCAGCTGTCTCCTGCATTTTCCAATTTTGATGGTGGGAGTGGAGGGGTAGAGAAGTATCCAGAATTATACCACTCATTGATGCAGGTCTTCAGCCCCGGGCAGTGGGCAGTACCCGTGTCCCCTGTGGGAGGTGCTGCTTAGCCGGTACAGCACGTCCACTGCTCCTTCTGCTCTCCTTCAGGAAGTCCTGGGTGCCAATGATCCTGAGAGGAATTTCTTAACCACAGCCATCCGCCCCCATGGCATTTTCGGCCCAAGGGACCCCCAGCTGGTCCCCATCCTCATTGAGGCAGCCAGAAAAGGCAAGATGAAGTTCATGATCGGGTAAGTCAGCCCATTGTTGCTTTTCAGCGAGATCCCCTGAACCCATGTAACAAAGATCAGTTACTTTCAGCTCTCTTCTTTTTTTTTTCTTTTGTTATTCCTCACCCAAGGATATTTTTCCATTGATATTTAGAGAGAGGGAGAGGGAGAGACACACAGAGAGAAACATCGATGTAAGAGAGACACATCGATTGGTTGCCTCCCACACATGCCCAGACCAGGGCCAGGGATTGAGCCTGCAAGTGAGGTACATTCCCTTGACCAGGATCAAACCCAGGACCCTTCAGTCCATAGGCTGGATGCTCTATCCACTGAGCCAGACTGGCTAGGGCCAATTCTCTTATGTGGCCTTCTCTACTGCCCTCTACGTTCATTTGCTGAGACTCCCATAGCAAATGACCCAGACGGGGGTGGGGGGCAGGGGGAGCGGGCGGGGGGCTTACAGCAACAGAAAGGAATCCTCTCCCAGTTCTGGAGACCAGAAGTCTGAAATCCAGCCAGGGGCAGGATTGGTTCCTTCAGAAGATTCTGAGGGACAGTCTCATCCAGGCCTCTCTCCCAGCTGGTGGTGGTGGGTGGCAGTCCTTGGAATTTCTTGGCTTAGATAGATGCATCACTCCAGTCTCTGATACCGTCTTTGCATGATCTTCTTTTTCTGTGTGTCTTTGTCCAAATTTCCCTTGGTTTGTAAGAACAGCAGCCACGCCCTAACTGGTTTGGCTCAGTGGATAGAGCGTTGGCCTGCAGACTGAAGGGTCCCAGGTTCGATTCCAGTCAAGGGCATGTACCTTGGTTGCGGGCATATCCCCAGTAGGGGTTGTGCAGGAGGCAGCTGATCAGTGTTTCTCTCTCATGGATGTTTCTAACTCTTTATCCCTCTCCCTTCCTCTCTGTAAAAGATCAATAAAATATATTTAAAAAAAAAAAGAACAGCAGCCATTGGATTTAGGGCCCATTCTACTCCAGTATGACCTCACCTAACCTTGATTACATCTGCAAAAACCCTATTTCCAAATAAGAACACATCTACAAGTTCCAAGTGGACATGAATTTGGGGAGGACACTATTCAACCTGGTGCACTCTCTCTGACAGGCTGGCAAAATATTGGTGTCCCTGTTTGGAAATTGAGGGAACAGGCTCAGAGGGGAAAGCCTGATGCACGGTCAGGGGCCAGGCCCTCAGCTCTTGTTGCATCCATGAAGATAGGAGGAGGCTTTAACATTCCTTTCTGAGCAAGGTGCAGGTGGCGGGGCCTAGCAGGTGGTGGCAGTGTGGCTGGCTGTCTTCCCCAATACATTTACTTTTCCTTCCTTCCTTCCTTCCTTCCTTCCTTCCTTCCTTCCTTCCTTCCTTCCTTCCTTCCTTCCTTCCTTCCTTCCTTTTTCCCTTTTCTTCCTGTCTTTTTCTTGCTACCTTGCCTCCCTGCCTTTCACTTGGCTGCCCTGTCCTATTGCTTTGAGGGATTACACAGAGATGGTAGAAACACATGAGGCCAGAGCAAGGCATTAACCCAGAGTGTCCCGGAAGGAGTGAAAGGCTGCTGCCCAAAGTGGAGTTGAGGGCAGACAACACCAATGTTGGCCACACTGGGATGGGGCAGGCAGGGCACCAAGCTTTCTGATACATTAGTTGGCCCTTAAGTATCCCAGGAGCCCTGGCCCCTTGCACATCTTTAACTGTTACAGATGTCAAGGTGTGTTGGGCTGGCATTGCCAAGGCAGGTAGCAGTCTTTTAAAATGCTGAGACTTGGGCCCTAGCCGGTTTGGCTCAGTGGAAGCGCGTTGGCTCGTGAACTGATGGGTCCCGAATTTGATTCTGGTCAAGGGCATGTACCTCAATTGCAGGCTCGATCCCCGGCCCTGGTCAGGAGGCAACCAATCGATGTGTCTCTCATACATCCATGTTTCTCTCTCTGTGTCTCTCCCCCTCCCTTCCACTCTCTAAAAATCAACGGGAAAATATCCTGGGGTGAGGATTAATAAAAATAAAATAAAATAAAGTGCTGGGACTTGGAAGCAACCCCAGGTTTCTGTGCAGTGTCTCAGCGTGCAGCTGAGTGCTCCCAGCCCAGTGTAACCACATCTGTATGCCCACAGAAACGGGGAGAACTTGGTGGACTTCACCTTCGTGGAGAATGTGGTTCACGGACACATTCTGGCTGCAGAGCACCTCTCCCAAGACACGGCCTTGGGTGGGAAGGTAAGGCACCTGCTTCTCTCAACTCGGCAATGGCTGGCCCACCACATGCTCCCCCTGCATGTTTTTCCATCTTCAGATTTCTTCTCTGTGTGATTGGATGCACTGGCACGTTCCCTCCGTGATTCTGTATCCTGGTAGACCTGCTTTAGGATCCCGTGGGCTTGAGATTAAGCCCCTATGGTCAGGAGTATGGCATCATGGCAGTACCATATCCCACAGGGCAGCCCAAGTCCAGAGGTGTGGGCTGTGGTTGAGAGATTCAGGACCTGGTTCTCTGATTTTAGGGCCTGGTTCTCCATGAACGTAACCTGACTACCTACCATGGACGTGGCTACTCCAGGCAGGGTCCCGTGTACATTGGCCAGAGTGTGTGCTATTCACCCTTCCTCCACTCATTCCAAGTGTCTCCATTTTCTTCTCATCATCCAGCCATGCTCATGCCTCTCACCCCACCTGAGGTGCAGATGTATCTGAACCTCCTGGTGTTTGGTATCCAGTGGGCAGGCTGGGCATGTGGGGGAGGTGAACTCACCCAGAGATGGGAGAGCACATTTGGCCCCTCATCCTTTCCTCTCATTCCTGCCTTGGAATCCCTCCTATTTGGGCCTCATTTGTTTCTCCTGGACTTGTTCCATTTTCCCACTCATATAACTCTTAGGGTGGCTTTTGGTTTAGACCAAGCATGTCAAGCTCAAAGGCTAACACGGGCCAAATAAACAAGGTTTAAGTTTATGTGGGCTGCAAAAAAACAAAAGCTTTAATTTTCATAGAAACGTTGGTTTATTTCTGTAGAGACATGCTGAATACAAAGGGCTAAAATAAATGAGCAATCATTCACATAAAATAATAGAATACTTTAATAAAAAGTAATATTTTTCTTGAACATTAACTTACCAGACACTGAATAACTGCACACGTTAATAAGCATAACACAAATAAACCTATTTTTCTTGTTCTCCGAAAGCGAAATACTTCCTGTTGCGCACACCAAACAAGTCAGTACAAGACTAACTTGGCAACCGGCTGCTAAAATGTTCACTGCTAGTATTAGTGGAGAGAAATGGTGCGCCTGCGTGTAAGGCACATAAGGGAAATGAATGCAACACGATTATAGTAATCAGTCATTAGTGAACGTTGTAGTTTGTTATTAATATGTATAAAGGATATTGTAAAAATTAAGTTATGAAATTTTTATTAAAACATTTCTTACATACCGTTATATTGGCTAGGCTGCAAAAATATTTGTTGTGGCCCGCGGGGCGTGAGTTTGGCATGCTTGGTTTAGACCAAACAAAGCACAGTTGAGAAACTTAATATGACCCATTCGTTGTGCCTGAAGATAAGAAGATGAGTGTCACCATGCTTAACACAGTTACCAAATGAAATTAACAAACGTGCCTTCCCGAATGCAATCTAACTTCACTGAAAAACCTGACTTACAGAGGAAATTTTCACTGCCTTCCCTCTGCTCCTAAAAGGGGCCCATAGCTGCGAATCCAAAGGTTGTCTGCCAGTGGCTGACACTTGTGGATTAGAGGACCACGGAAATGCTGCGATCTGCATGCACTTAATATCCACCTCACTTTTGAGCTGCCCTGCAAAGGAGCTGGGGTGAGCAGGCGGGCAAGGAGTGACCACTGGTCCTAGGCTGAGCCAACAGCTGTGGCTGAGCTCTGAGCATGGCCTGCTCACCCCTCCGGCTGTGGAGCAGTCTCTAACTTCTTGTTCTGTCTTCAGGCATTCCACATCACCAATGACGAACCCATCCCCTTCTGGACATTCCTGTCCCGCATCCTGATAGGCCTCAATTACGAAGCCCCCAAGTACCACATTCCCTACTGGGTGGCCTATTACCTGGCCCTCCTGCTATCCCTCCTTGTGATGGTGATCAGTCCTGTCATCCAGCTCCAGCCCACATTCACTCCGATGCGGGTCGCGCTGGCTGGCACATTCCACTACTACAGCTGTGAGAGAGCCAAAAAGGCCTTGGGCTACCAGCCACTGGTCACCATGGATGACGCTGTGGAAAGAACTGTGCAGAGCTTCCACCACCTGCGGAGGGTCAAGTGAGGCCCCGAGACTGGGCCCTCTCACCACATTCCTCCTCCAATACCTCTCCTCGTGGATCAAGAAACTAACTTCCTTCAAGTGACTTTCTTCTGAGCTCAGGTACCTCCTGCCAGTTAGATAGGAGCACACCCGGCCTTTCCATGACCACAAGTGAAGCCTTAGTGGAAGCACAGGATCAGATTTGGACTTTTAGCGGGCAGCTTTGTATTCTTCTGTTTTGTGTTTTCTCTCCCATCCCCCCTCTATCCTGGGGTCCTTATCATCCCACTGCCCTTGTACATAATCAAGGGAGCTGTAGCAAAGAACCGACCTCTTTGCTAATTGAGGATGGAGAACTAGATTCATTTCCATGCAAACCAATACAAGAGTAGAAGCCACAGACTCTTCAAGGAGCCACATATTACAAACATCCTAGAGGAGAAACAGAAACACATGGTGAGACTGCAAGTGTACATTTCAAATAGAGTTTAGAGCAAGCAAACACTTCCAAACAGCTTAAGCAACTGTAACCCTCCCCCTCCATCCCTCGTGGTTCCCCTCCTTACATGCTTCCAAGTTCTCCAAGGCCCAGCTGCAGTGCCTGTCTGCATTGTTTTTCTTCATAAAACATTCTGTCATGGTCACATTTCACTTTATCAACAGATTCCTGTTGTCCTTAGTGACACAGCAGTGGCCTGACCCGTGGCATGCTCTTTCAGCTGTTTAGCGACTCTCCTGACATCAGACTGCTTGATAGTGTGGTATGGGAAAGGTCAGACAGAAAAGAGTCTCCTTTATCTGCTTGGAGTTTGGACAGAAAGGGCACTTCACTCATAGAACCCTTCACGCAGAACCCTTCCGGCCAATTTCCAGAAGGCCTAGCACATATAATGACTCAGTGTTCTCTCTTTCCTGGTGACGTTCTGCTTACAGAACCTGGTTTCTTCTAAGACTAATTGACATGTAATCTTCAAGACCTATTTTCTTTTCTGCTTTTGTCCAAAGTTGGGGAGGCTGGAATAAAGACATTGCACGTGCCATTTGGTTTGTGTAGTATGAGCATGACACCCACCTGTGGAGAAACTGCTACGCCGATAGAGTAGGGGGAGTATAAACAGAAATAAGACAGTCTTTGCCCAAAGGCACTTTAAAAATAGAGGAGTTAAGATACGTTCACAATCCTGTGTAATACCAGGCAGGAAATGATACACTGGAGACAAAGTGGTATAAATTCAGAGGAAGGAGACATGGCTTCTAGCCAAGACCATCCAAAACACCTTTGTGAAGGAGGGAACAGTATTGAGTTGGACCTTGAAGGATGGATAAGAGTCAGTAGGTAGAGGCCACTAGGTGGCATTTCAGGCTTAAAGGTCAGGTTCACAGTCATTGGCTTGTCATAGTTTCATTAGTAGTGTGTGGTCTTCCTCAGATTTAGTGAAGTACAGAAGTGACCAGCCTGGATTGGGGTGGGAGGTGTGGAGCAGTGGGAGGTCAGTCAGGCTGGAGAGGTAGGTAGGGCCTCAGATGCAAAGCCAAGGGGACTGAACTTTATTTACCCTGTAGGCAGGGGAAACCATTGCCAGTTTAACCATGTTGGGCTGAAATCAAGAAACTCATTTTAGCCACTCTGCATGGAGCCTGGGAGGTCAGATTAGGAAGTGATGCAGCCCCGGAAATAGAAATGAAGCCTTCATGGAAGCACCTAGAAAGGAATCAGAGCTCCCTACCTGATTTCCTCGGGGAGATGAGAGGGAGTGAGGAGACTGAGGCATGGAATGGGAGGACTCTGCTTTCAGAGCTGCCGGGAGGAGGGTCTCTGCTTGGAAGATTGAGGCTGGCAGGCCTCACCGAGAAGCATCTAGGGCCAAAGTTTCCTCAGCTTTGTCCTCTCTGCTTCCCTGGGGAAATGCTAGCAGCCGCCTTGACCAAAGATGTCCCTCGTCAAACTTGAACTGTACATGTTTCCACATGTTTGTTGGGCGCTGTCCGGGCTTCAGTGGTGAGTGAATAAACAGACACAGCCCACAGCTGACATTCTAGTGGGCTCGTACAAATCAATACATAATTGGAAACTTGAAAGTTCCAAGAAGGAAAGGTGTGGGAGTGACTGAAAGTGAACCTGGCCAGGTTGGAAATGGGGCAGAACAGCCATCAAAGGTTTCCCAAGGAAGCATTGTCCATGCAGATCAGAAAGGTGAGACAGATCATTAAGTGGCTGAGAGAGCCCTCCAGACAGACCCTGAGCCCCAAGTGGGCAAAGGGCTGCCCTCCCCACCTGGTGAGGACTTTTGCTGCCCTTCCTTGCTCTGCCCTGCAGTCCTGACCCAGACCCAAGTAACCTGCCCCCCAATCTGTGTGTAGAAAGTCTGACTGCCAGGAAACCACAGCCTCCAGCCCCTCCCCCTGAGAGCTTGTTAGAAACTCTGGTGCCCCACCCCACACCTACTGAACCGACACTCTGGGGGTGGGCCTGGCACATTGTTCCCAAGCCCTGCCAATAGTCTGAACCACTGAAGTGGCCTCCCACCAGGTCATTGAGTCTAACTAGAACCTTGCCTCAGCCACTGCAAGACTGAACTTGCCCCCTCACAGGCCCAAGTCCCTGGGCCACCTGACCTGTTCCTTTGCTGAAGGCCAATAGGGAGGCACACCTCCCTAAAATGACTTCCTGGAGAACCTACCAGGGCCTGTGCCCCTCCTGTGGCACATCCATCTGTAAAAATCAGGGCCAAGGGAAAGGAGACAGCTGAAAGAGTCCATGCCCAGTTCTGTGCATTCATTGGGGAGATCTCTCATTTCAGTCATCTCTCCACCCCATTGACGTCGACCTAGTTCATTTAGCACCTGGCTCTGTCCGCACCTGGGTCAGGTGTACTGGGACAGCCCAGCTGATCTGTCTGTCTCCTCTGATCCAGCCTCTATGCACATCCAGGAGTCCTTCCTAAAACAGACCTAGATCCTCCCTCTCCTCTACTGAAAACGCTTCGGTGGGTCCTGATTTTCTCCTGAACACATTCCACGGCCAGTCCATCATGGCCTGTGCTCAGCCCACCTTTCCAGCCTCTTCTATTGGCTTCACACCTGCTGTGCTCCACCCAAACTGCTCATACCCTGTCATACATCCCTTTGCTCAGGTTGTCCTGGATTCCTGCAATGTCCTCTCCTCCATATGTCTCCAGGTTCAGAATGGCCAGCTTCCTTTCACCCAAAAGCCTACCCGGATCCTCCCAATTGAAAACAGTGCCTGTTCTCTAGGCTTCCAGCCTGGGAATCTCAATCTTTGCCTCATTTAGTGTATTCCCTCTGTGTACTTTCTCCCACCCCCACCAGGCCAGGAGCTCTTATAGCGCAGCCAACCAATGTCCCCACAGCACAGCATGGGCATTCAGGAAACACGTGCAACCACCTGACTGGCCTGGAATCCTAGAGTAACCGCAGCAACAGAAGGAAACAATGCAAGGCCTGGGGAATGGAGCAGCCAGTGGGACTGGTTGGAGCAGAGGTTCTGGGCCCGGCATTCATGTGTGGTTTGGGAGGTCTGTGAACCACATAAATTGGATGCAGCCTTTGGGTCACCTGTGAGTGTGTTTCTTTTGGCAGGAAAAGAAAGGCCCATAGCTGTCATCTGCTTTTCAAACATGACTGTGGCCCAATCAACATTTGAGCCAGTGGAGTGGGGGCCAGTAGCTGTGGAGAAGCCCACTTTGTAGAGAGGGTCCAAGAGAGAGAAACTGAGGGACAGAATGGGCCTCCAGGCCTTATCAGCACTCCCATCTGCATGTGTTCCTAGACCAGAAGTGCTTGTGGCCAGCTGTTCCATCTGTAGAGTCTGTGACTAGGGAAGGACTGGAACCAAGGCGGAGGATGGCTCAGCAGACAGGACAGGAATGGTTGAGGCCTCTGGCCACAGCACTCCAAGCTCTGGTATGCATTTCTATGCACTGACAAGTAGCTCGAAGCTTCCTCTCTCTTTGGTGTGTAATAGCCCTTGCTGGTGGAAATTTCTCCCTTCTGCTAAACTGAAATACCTCTTGATGTGACTTCCCTTGCCTTCCCTCCCTCTATCCAATCCCAGCAAGCTAGCTTATAAGCTTCTCCTGCTAGGCCCACAGCCTCCACTTCATTCTAAACCTTATCTCCAACAGCATTTCATCCTCCCAGCTTTCTCTCAAAAGGGTCGCTCTCTTTTGGCTTCCTACAAAGCCTGGTCGCCATCAAAGCACTTCCTCAGTTATAAGGTAATCATCAGTTTAGCTGCCCAGTTCTCCTATGCCCACTTGTCAAGGGCCAGGGGCTTTTGATTTATTTCTCTGTCCCTGGATTCATATACAATGCCTGCTCCTGGGAAGGTGCCCAGTAAGTGTAACCAGACTGGAAGGGTATTTAGAGGGGAAAGCTACCAACACCCACATTGACCAGCTGGGGGAGCTCCAGAGAGAAGCCACAGCCAAGGACATTCAGGCAGTTAGCAGAGCCCTGGCTAGACCCTGGGCCCTGACCTCTGAGGCCAGTGCACTGCAGGTTACCCATTTGATTCAAGCAGCCTAATGCAGCAAAGGTGCCCAGGTGGGGAGGGAGAGACATGGGCTCTGATCTGAGGCTCTCCAACGTGAAGGGCTTGAAGAGCACAAATAGTTAGGAATGGAGAGAAAGAAAAGAGGCTTTGCCTTAGCTGGTTTGGCTCAGTGGATAGAGCATCAGCCTGAGGATTGAAGTGTCCCGGGTTCGATTCTGGTCAAGGGCACATACCCAGGTTGTGGGCTCGATCTCCAGTAGGGAGTGTGCAGGAGGCAGCCAATCAATTATTCTCTCTCATCATTGATGTTTCTCTCTTTCCCTTTCCCTTCCTCTCTGAAATCAATGAAAATATATTTACAAAAAAAAAAGAAGAAAGGAAAGGAAAGGAAAGGAAAGGAACGGAAACAAAGCTTTGGGAGATACTACAATCTTCCCTCACCAGCACTGCTTAGTTATTGATCATAGAAAACCCAAAATGATGATGGAGCCAAATTAGAGCCTTCCTTTTGTCAGATCTGCCTCTCAACCCCAGGAGGTTTGCTCACATTTGCTCCTTCGGCCCAGAGATCTTTCTAGAGTGACATGAATAGGGAATAAAAGGAGAGAGAAGAGGGTGAAGTCCTATCAGCCTTTTTTCTGTACTGCAGCCTGTCTCCCAGCAACTCTTACAAGATGCCTTTTTTATCAACTTCTGGGAGACACATACACTATTGGCTTTGTTCTCCATTGCGGGGGGGGGAGACCATCAATTCAGGAAATATTAACTGAGCACCTACTGAGTCCAAAAGGATGCAGAAGTGACCAAGATAGAGCCCTTACCCTCTGAATCCCACAGAGAAAGTAATAATCCAAGTGCTCCTTGACTTAAGAGTAAGGGCAGAGGTCTTAGCGTGATACATGGTCTTCATCAGATCCTGGTTTGACCAGAGGGACTTTGAGAGATATTTGGAAGAAAATAGTGAAATTTGAGTGTGAATTGATATTAGATAATAGTAGGAAATTATTAATCATTAGGTAAATTAATGGTATTGGGGTTATGTAAAAAAAAATCCCTATTTTGTAAAGATGCATATTAAACTGGCAAAATGTCAGGAGATATATATATAAAATTTCATTTTAAATATTTAAACTATTTCAGAAAACTAAAGATGGCAAATTAACAATTGTTAAACCTAAGTAATGAGTATACAAATGCTTATTATATACTATTTCTCCACTTTTCTGTACATTTGAAATTTTTCATAATACACAATTCCAATAAAGCAGTTTTCTAACATTTAAAAAAAAAAGAGCAGAGTTCTGCAAATGGTGAACTCAGGGTCAACTCCCACTTGCTGTCCACTTGGGTCAATAAAGTTTTATTGGCACCCAGCCACATTCATTTATTTGCATATTGTCTATGGTTGCATTCATGCTACAATGGCAGAGTTGACCGTTATTGTGTGACCCACAAAACCTAAAATGTTTACTATCTTCCCCTTTACAGAGAAAGTTTCCCAATCTCTGCTTAAGAGTGACTGAT